GGCGCTTCAGTAGGCCCCAGTGCAGAAGGGGACCTGGGCTTGCTGGGCTTGGGGAGCTGGGGATGTAAGAGGAGACAGCAGAGACCCACAGCTGCTCTCCATCTGAGCTAGCCACACCAGCCCCTGCCCTTGTCTCCGCCGCCTCCTCTGGCCCATGCACCTCTGCAAATGGGAAGCATGGAGTTGGCTGGCGCTGGGGCAGTTTGCTGGCGAGAAGGACTCACCCCCAGCTCAAGGACCACCTTAAAGGATCTAGCCCCTACCAATAGCTCCTGCCCAGGGACCATAAGTTTCCCCAGGGAATGACTGTTTGCAGAGAATGAAGGACCCATTTGCAGGACAGACATCAACACACATACCCCCCAGTCAGGGGAGGGAAACGAGGGTGATGAAGGAGCCTCACGGCGCCCTGGAAGGGAAGGACCATGGAAGTGCACATTAAGGTCCTTGGGACTGGCACTAACTGTGCACCCAGCCAGGCATGCCCGCCCCCCACCCTCTCTGGAACCTGGGCTCCTCATCTGTCAGAGAAGCCGTGCCGTGAGATGGTGGCTGCGTGTCTTCTGACTCAACATTTGTGGTTCTGTGGGGCCCAGGGTGGCCCCCTTACAGCAGCCTCTGCCTTCCGGCTCCAGAGAACAGACCCTCCCAGAAACATCACCCTGGCCGGACGCTGTGAGCCAGAACTGAGGCCACGCTGACCCGACACAAGGGGAGGCGGCTCGTGCTCACTGAAGGGGAAGGAGGGCGGGGAGGCAGACGGGAATTTTGTTGACACCGGTGATGTGCCAGGTCTGCCCTATTTTCCGCGAGGGGTTTCAACGGGTCTGTGGAAACTTCCACTGTCTTTTCGTTCCATTTTCCCACCTGCTTTTGGAAGCCCCCTTGCGGAGTTGATAACTTTTGAGACATCGTCCATGCCGCGAGCCTCCATTGATAGATGAGAAAATGAGAAATGTCCAGTCTGGGTGATTCCAACGTCGGAGGTTCCACGTGTCCTGCCGCCTTTTCTAGGCTTTTCCCACGGCCACTGTGGACCGACAATGCCTCAGCTCCTTCTCCCCCACTCTCCACCCACCACCACCCCCTTGGGGCCCTGGTGGCATAGTGCTTATTTGTGGGGCTGACAGCCACAAGGTCAGCAGTTCACCCCTACCAGCCCCTCCATGGGAGAAAGGCAAAGGTTTCCTACCCCCTGTAGACAAGGGCAGTTCTCCCGGTCCCTGAAGGTCACCATGAATCAAGACTGGCCCAATGGCAGTGACGTTTGGGAGCCCTGGTGGCACTGTGGGTTAGCCATTGGACTGCTAACTGCGAGGTCAGTGGGTCAGATCCACCAGCCCCTCTACAAGAGAAAGTGGAGTCTGTCTGCACCCAAAAAGATTTTCCGTCTTAGAATCTCTTAGAGGGTCACCATGAGTCAGAATCTATTCAATGGTAATGGGGTTGGGTCTTTGTTTTTTAAGGTTTTTGTCAACAGCCAAGTGTTGCCAAAGCCAAGTCCTGCTGCCTGCAGGGTTGCTACTATCACCGCGAGATAAGTGGGTGAGGTGTTGCTTCTTGCTCTGTGAGGCCGGTGGTTGGGGCAGTGAGCTAAGCATTTGGCTGCTAACCTAAAGGCTCCTTGGGAGAAAGTTAAGGCAGTCTGTGCCCATAAAGATGACAGCTTTGGGGTCCCATGGGCCATGCTACTGTCCCCATAGGGTCTCTGAGTCAGGATCCAGTTGCCAGCAATGGGTGTCTGTAAAGCTGGGGTCCTTCTGTGCCTGTCCAATGAGTTTATGCCTGTCTCGGGACCGAGACCAGAAACCTGACTCCCTGCTGGCCTGGAAGAGACCCTGCTGGGCAGTGCAGCTTGTCTTGCTGACACCCAATCCTGTAGGCCCTCAGCTACAAAGAGATCCCCTTTCCCCAGCCACGAGCCCTGCCAGCGTTTCCTCCAGGCCTGTCCAGGCACAATCACCTGCTGCCAAAAAGCAGAGACCTCCCAGACTGCTGGGCCAGGCCTGCAGCCTGTCCTCTCCCAGAACACCCAGCCCTCCACAGGGCCTTCCCCGTGAGCCCCCTGTTCCACCAGCAGTGGGTACCTCGCACCAAACTGGGATGTAGCCTGTAGGATCGCATTGTTGCTGGCCTACAATAGCTGTCTGATTCCCAGGTACCTGATACCTAGCAGTCCCATTCACACAACAAATGTTTTTCCAGTGTCTTCCATGTGCCGCAAACAAGGAATGGAGAGGCGTGGATGGTTTCACACTGCTGATCTTACAGATAGCAGCCCAACCCCATAACCTCTATGCCAGTAGGGTCCCCAAAAGGGGTTGGTGACAGAAATCCTACCAGTGGGCCTGGCACTTCCCCGGCCCCTCTTTCTGGTGCCCTGGCCTCAGTCAGGCTGGAACGGCCATCTCTGACCCGCTCCCTTGCTCCTAGGCAGTTGGCTTGTGCCCGCTCCCCGCCACATGCTTTCTCCCTTGTGAGGGTGTGACCTCTGAGCGCGTCCTCATCTCTGACTCCCTGAGTGGCCTCCCCAGCCCCCAGAGGGCTCCTTCCACGGTGTGTCTGCCCACTGAGCTGTCCACTTGGTCTGCGGCACTCACGCATGCTCCTGCCCTGCCCTGGCCAGCCCTTCACTGGTTTGTCATGGGAGCTGCTCCCCTCGCCTCACTGGCACAGCCGACCTAGCCAGGCAGGGCCCCAGATTTCTCTGTGGCTTCCCTCCAGCTCCTCTTTGACCCCCACCGGTCCCAAGGACCACAGCCCCTGGCAGCCCCTCCTTTCGCCGCACCTCCAGAGCAGGCATGGCCTCCCACTATGGGGTAGGTTGTCCACAGCGCTCTTCTCTCACGGAGGGTGTGTTCAGACGACTAAGTAGACGTGACCCCTCCCTCAGGCCCGTGCTGCCATGACAGCTAAGACTGCCACCACCACCCCCAAGCTGGCCCTCCCCACTGCCAGAGTCCCTCCATCATGCCCTTGCCTGCACAATGGGGGGAAGCTCCTGGATCCAGCCAGGGCCAGCCAGCCAGAGACCACGGCTGCTTAGCCCTGCCTGGTCCCCACCTCATCACACTGGGAGGGGGCCAGGGAGCACAGTGTCTCTCACACACACACACCCTTTGTGGCTGCACTCAAAACTTCCCGTCACAGGCACTGAATTGGCTACAGGCCATCCCGAGTCCTACGTGCACTTCAGGGACAGCCACTCTCTGTGACGTCTGGAGTGACCTGGTCAGGGCAGGCCGGGGCCCACAGGAAATGATGCTGGGGCTGTGTTAATGGCACGCTTGGCTTGAGTCAACAGCGTGTTGCCACTCGAGGCTGTGCCAATTAACACAGGACAGCTTGCCAGACTCCATCCGGGCCAGGTGCCCTGGGTTCCGGGACGGGGCCCACCAGCGTGTGCCCAGAAGTTGGCAGCCAGGGCAGGGGTGGGCTGGTGCCATTTAGCCAGGAGAGCAGACGCTTCAGAAGGCGGAATTACGTGCAGATCATGGCAGGACTTCCCGCTGAGAGGGGGATTGGGCCTGGGCCCCCCAGATGCAGAACTGAGCCCAGCAAGAGTGCAGTCCCCGGGAGGGCTCAGCGGTGCAGCTTGGAGTGTCAGCCCCTGCACCACAAAGGAGACCGGGCCGGCAGGAGGCAGGACCTTGGTCCAGTGTCTCCATCTGCTGGGGTCTCCAGGAGGGCCCATGTGTGCCAGCCTGCTTCAGAGTGGGCGGCCTTGAATGCTGAAATGTTCTCCCAGGACCCGACTCCCCCCACAGAGCAGGGCTCTTGATTTATCATGTCACGCATCACAGTGGCTGGCTGGCTGCTGCGGCTAGTGCCGTCCAGTAGGGTCCAGCCCAAAGCGGCCTGATGTGCAACCTGCCGGGTCCTGCGCCGTGTGTGTGATTGAGCCCGTCGATGCAGCCACTGTGTCCATCCATCCCACTGAGGCGCCTTCTTTCTATCTTTTCCGCTGCCCCTCCACTTTACCGAGCATGATGTCCTTCTCCAGGGACTGGCCTGTCCTGGGCAACGTGCCCAGAATACCTGAGGCAGAGCCTCGCCATCCTGGCCTCCGAGGAGCCCTCTGGCTGTCCTTCTTCCAAGACAGATCCGTTTGTTCTCCTGGCAACCCAGGGTACTTTCGATGTTCTTTGCCAGGGCCACAATTCAAATGCATCAATTCCTCTTGGGTCTTCCTTATTCGGGGTCCCGCTCCCATGGGTGATGAGATGATTGAAGACGCCCTGGCTTGGGTTAGGCACACCAACGTCCCCAGAGTCACCTCCTTGCCTTCCAACACTTCAAAGAGGTCTTGTGCAGCAGAGTAACCCAACGCCAGCCTGGTTTGACTCTTGGCGGCTGCTTCCCAGAGCACTGGCCGTGGATCCCGGCAAGACGGCCTCCTTGGCAGCGTAGACCTCCGTTTACCGTGACGTGGCCCACTGGTCCAGTTGTGAGGATTGGGGTTTCCTTTACACTGAGATGTGATCGCAGTTGGGTCACAGGTGAAGCCCCATTTGCTGAATGTTCACAAATGGGGACATCAAAAGACAGGCTGGCTCAAGCAGCCAGTGCCGTTGAAGTAAACGTTACAACCTTAAAAACCAGAATTGTGGCACAGCAGAACGTATGTGCTTCTTAGCACTTGAAATCGCTTCTGATGGGTCTGGTCTGCGACAAGCAGGAAGGCCGTTCACGGCATCTGCAGCAGTGATTCCAACCCCAGGGAAAGTCACGGGACAGCGGCACTCCCTGCATGCTTACAGGGCATGCCCCATTTCAGCGAGAAGATGCCCAGCTCCCCCCAGGTGCCCATGGGCCCCAGGTTAAGATGCGTTACCGTTACGGGAAAGACTGGCTCCTTGTAGCAGGATCCCCATTCTGGGGCCCGAATCCCCAGTCTATGTCTCTGGGCACAGAGCGGGGCAAGGTTCTCCAGCAAACAGCAGGGGCTCAGGTCCTGTCTGCCTCCCCACCACGTTGTACCCTCTCCCTCTCTGCTGCAGGTGGGCGGACAACTTCATGGCCGAGGGCTGTGGAGGGAGCAAGGAGCACAGCTTCCAGCATCCCTTCCTCCAGGTACCTGCCCCATCCCATCCCTCCCCACCTCCGACCTGGCTGCCGTTTGCTGACGCAGGATCCGAGCTTCCTGGGTCCCACAGCAGGTGTTCACCTCCCCGCTCACCCCCAGAGCAGGCCGGGGTATGAGGCGGCCCCTGGGAGGAGGCAGGCCCCTGTCCCAGCTGCGCACACTGCAGCATCAGCCCCAGTAGTGCTAGCCTGCACCCTTCATCCCCTGGGAGCCCAGAGCCGGGCGGGGACAAGGCAGACACCGTGACTGGAAAAGACCTTCGCCCTCCATGGGGACTTGGGAGACTCAAATGGCAGCCCTGCTGTGCCAGCGAGTTGTCACGACCTCAAAGAGCCCCTCCACCCTCTCTGGGCCTCCATTTTCTCCTCTGGAACTCGGCTAGAAGTGAGCCTGAATCCACTTTCAGGCTGGCTCTCCCTAGCCTCAGGGTCTCCACCCGCCAAGCTAGTTCAGGCACGTTGAGGTAGACCTGGAGGCCTGTCGCTGACTCTCCTCCCCACAGCCCTGCTCTTGTCTGTTAACTTGTTGAGCGTCTCAGTCAGCCCTTGTTTGCAGAAAGGTCCTGCGCCCCCCAGAGAAGAAGTGTTACGAAGAGTCCCCTCCAGCTCTAACCCCTTGGGCTTGTCTCTGCAGGCTGTGGGCATGTTCCTGGGAGAGTTCTCCTGCCTAGCTGCCTTCTACCTCCTCCGGTGCCAAGCTTCAAGGCTGGGTGATTCCAGTGACAACCCTCCGCAGACCTTCAACCCCCTCCTCTTCCTGCCCCCCGCCCTCTGCGACATGACTGGGACCAGTATCATGTATGTGGGTGAGTGCCCGGCCAGCCAGGAAGGGCTCAGGGGACCCACACCTCACCTGCCCCTGCTCCTACTCCCCTTCCCCATGCCCCCACCACTCACACTGCGTTCATGCCGTGAAGATCTGCGGAGGAAGCAGTGCCCACGTGTCCCCACCCGACAGGCCCTGTGCCCGGGAGCTGACAGCCCTGCCTGTCTCCCCTCCTAGCTCTGAACATGACCAGTGCCTCCAGCTTCCAGATGCTGCGGGGAGCGGTCATCATATTCACCGGCCTGCTCTCGGTGGCCTTCCTGGGCCGGAGGCTGGCGCTGAGCCAGTGGCTGGGCATCCTTGCCACCATCGCGGGGCTGGTGGTTGTGGGCCTGGCTGACCTCCTGAGCAAGCATGACGACCAGCACAAGCTCAGTGAAGTGATCACAGGTGCGGCCGGGGTGGGGGTCCAGGGGGAGTGGGGTGGGGACACAGCACAGAGGAGACCCCCAAGGAGGGCACAGCTATACCAGCTAAGTGATCGCAGGTGGGGCTGGGGCAGGGGTCCAGGGGAGCCTGGCCTGGGGGAGACAGGGGTGAGCATACAGTGGGTGACAAGGAGCACAGAAGATGGGTGGAGAAAGAAAGAGGGTGACAAGGAGTTGGGGGGCTGTGTGGCGATTCGTGTGCACATGCATGGACTGCTGGACTGGGGTAGAGGAACCCACGTGTGTTGAGTGCGGACTCTACCAGACGGCACTGAGCAGTGCGCATTCATGATCAGGCCTGGGTGTGACAGGGCCTGTCCCTCAGGGGCCAAGGAGCAAGCAGGACAGTGAACCACATGTCGCCCTGCGTGTGGCACGAGCCCCGTGGCTGCTCCCTCCCAGCCTGGCCCCTGGCTCTCCTTTCCTGCAGGGGACCTGCTGATCATCATGGCCCAGGTCATCGTGGCCATCCAGATGGTGCTGGAGGAGAAGTTCGTGTACAGACACAACGTGCACCCCCTGCAGGCAGTTGGCACTGAAGGTGTGAGCACCGGGCCTCGGCGGGCGCCGGGGTTGGCGACTTTGCGTGGAGCGGGTGTTTAGGGAGCTTCGCGGGGACATTGGAAGGCGGGGGGCCTCCTGCCCTTTAGCCAGAGCCACTTGTGCTCAGGTGCCCCTCCCTGACTGACATGTCCAAGTTCTCAGGATGGAGAAGGGGACTGTGGGCAGCCCAGGGGGAGGGGGAGGGAGCGTCCTGCAGGGCAGGCAGGGAGAGTTTGGGAAGCAGGTTTGATGCTTCAATCAGGAAAGCAGGTCGAAAAGGCCAGAAAAGGGCATTTCAGCGTCAAGTAGCAGGCAGGGAAGCCCACTGACTAAAGACGTGACTAGAGATCCTGCTTGGCTCTGAGAAGGGGACGCTGCAGGGCTCCCCAAAAGGCAGGCTGCGGGTTCTGCCTGCCCACCAGGGCATCGTCACCAGACCACGGGAGCGAAGGGGCTTCAGGAGAAGGTCAACAGGCGCAGTGACCCGTGTCCCCAGGCACACTGTGTGTTCCTGCCGTTTCCTCCTTGCGAACAAAACAGTATGTGGATTTACGTCCTGGTGAGAGCGTCCAGCCACGGACAGCTGATGCCGGGTGGAGAGCTGTTTTTCCAGAGCCGTGAAAGCAGGGAACCGAATGTTCCCGTGTAATTACAGCCAGCCTCACTAACATTTTAAAAAACAAATACAATTGGATTGAGGAGAAGACGTCAGAGGGCATTGTCCGTGGGAAGGGCAGCCGCCATCACTCGGCGCTGCTTTTGTTGGGGGTGGACGGGGGGGCGGTTTACACCTGAAACTCCGGGTTACGGGGGGCCGTCGAGGAGGTGGTGTGGAACAGTAGCTGTGACTCTTGGTCCCCCTCAAACAAAAACAAAAAATCCAAGCTCCCGGCGATGGGAACCACAGCAGGCTCCTGCTGGGTGGCGGGGAGGGGCAGCCCCTGGGGGCCAGCAGGAAGGTGCAGGGAAGGGGCAGCCGGGTCTCAGGGAGCCCTTTGTCAGGCCAGGGGGGCCAGGTGCAACGTGCTTCCCTCCGCCCGCAGGCCTCTTCGGCTTCGTGATCCTCTCCCTGCTGCTGGTGCCCATGTACTACATCCCCGCCGGCTCCTTCAGCGGGAACCCCCGGGGGGCCCTGGAGGACGCGCTGGACGCCTTCTGCCAGGTGGGCCAGCAGCCGCTCATCGCGCTGGCTCTGCTGGGCAACATCAGCAGCATCGCCTTCTTCAACTTTGCGGGCATCAGCGTCACCAAGGAGCTGAGCGCCACCACCCGCATGGTGCTGGACAGCCTGCGGACCGTGGTCATCTGGGCGCTGAGCCTGGTGCTGGGCTGGGAGGTCTTCCACCCGCTGCAGATCCTGGGCTTCCTCATCCTCTTGACTGGCACCGCCCTGTACAACGGGCTGCACCGCCCACTGCTGGACCTCCTGTCGCGGAGCCGGGACCCTGCAGCCGAGGGCGAGCAGGAAAGACTGCTGGGCGGCACCCGGGCCCCCATCAACAGCATCAGCTGAGCCTCCCACAAGGACTCCGCTGCCCCCGGCTGACCTCCTCCCCCTCCCCGAGGCTGAGGCTGCAAGACTGGTGGGCCGCAGGCACCCTGTCCCTCAGACTGCACCCCACCCCACCCCATCCCCCATTTCCTCACAGACCCTCAGCGTGTCTGCTGCCAAGTCCTCCTCTCCTCTCCCCAGCCCCTGAGGGGGCGGGGGTGTCTCGGGTGTGCCTCCTCAGAGCCCCACCTCAGCACAGAGCTAAGTCACAAGGCCGGGTTGGCACTCATCACACCCCAGCGATGCCTTCTGAATGACGGACTAGACAACGAGAAGACAGGAGCGCTCGTGGACAAGTCCAAACCAGGGCTACACATGGTGTGTCCCCATCCTGTGAGCTACACCTACCAGGGGTCCCCCAAACCTGTCAGGAGAGCCTGTTTCAGCCCCGTGCGCCTGCTCCCTGGCCAGTTCACTGCCTGGCCCCTGAGCATGGGCTTTCTGCTCTGTCAAACCACGTCGGCTCGGAGCCTCCGGTGCCCAGAGCCCAGCACCCTGTGGGCGTGTGGTGGTGACCAACAGGAGAAAGGAGCTCGAGGCCACAGGAAAAGCCCTTCAACCACAGAGCTGTCCACCCCCAAGGCCCATTTCGGTGTCCCCACTCACACCCCTGTATAGGCCCCCTACCTGGAAGAAGCTAGCAGGGGCATTTCCAGCAGCCTCTGACAGTTTCTGATTAATCCATCGCCTTCCTTTGTAAAGAGGAGGAAACAGGCCCACAGTTGTACGTTACTTGGCAACACACACACACATGCCACACCTGTACCTCAGCCCGCTGGGTCCCCTGGCCCCATAGGAAACTCTGGGTGATGATTCTGGTACGCAGTGAGCAGCATGCATGCTCTCAGTACCACCCTCTGCGGTGGCCACTAAGGAGGACACTGTCCCAGGAAAGTCAGGGACGACCCAGCATTCCTGCCTGGTTTTCTCTGATTCCTGCCTGGTTCCTCTGCAGTGGGATTTCCCACGGCAGATGGAGGCATCGGGCACTGTGGTCCTCCCGGTGGTAACCGCCCCCTGCATCAGCAGCCCTCAGCCCAGCCGAGGGTGACAGCCGTGTTTCTGACCCCTTGGCATTTTCTGCAGCGCAAGTCCCGGGGAGACGGGACTGGAGAGTGAAGGTGGTACACACTACAACTCCTTGTCCTTTTTTTTTAAAGCAACCAGGGTCTTCGAATGTTTGGGATGTTCGCTCTTAAAAAGGAAATTGGCAGTATTTGCGTCTGTCTGCTCATTTGTTTTACTTACTAACCCAAGCGCATGGGACCCACCTAAGGATCGAATCTAGGGTGTTGGAACTGAGACTCACTGATGTCCCGGTGCACAGAGATCATCACGCCTCCCACTCACTGAACCGATGAAGATACAAAACCCAGAGAGGGGAAGGGACTTCCCAAGGTGGCACAGCCCTGTTAGATTGCCGGTGCCCAATCCCTGCCCATCCTGCTCTGCCCAGGGAGTGGAGCCTAGAACCCATAACAAGATTTTGGAGCTGTTTACCTGCTGCGTGGTGCCCCCACCTGTGGGCCAAAGTGCGCACACCTGAGGGCTTGGAGAAAACACTGGGACCTTATTTGGGTGCTGCTGTGGGGAAGAAAGTGTATCCCAACAGAGTAGAGGTTACACTTGGGACCACTAACTGCCAGGTCGGCAGTTCAAAACCACCAGCCGTTCCACGGGAGAAAGACGGGGCTTTTTACTTCCTGAAAAGTTATAGTCTCAGAAACCACAGGGTTATGGTTTGAAAGGTTGGGGTGATCTTGATATTTCGTTGGGGTGGAGTCACCCCATCAAACTAATCATTGTACCTCCAAGAGCTCTGGGACTTCTCTAAAATGGGGATAAGGACCCAGGATAGACATGAGATTAACAGATGATACAATCAGAGGTGCTTGTAAGCATCCTGTGAGGCTATGTCTAGGGTGGCGGGGCAGGCACCAACGCCTCAGGAGAGGCCTGGCTCACACAGCATAGGCATCATTCTTCTCAAAGGGGAAAAAAACCTAGTGAAACAAGCCATAGTGGCATTTGACTCTTAAGATGTTTTATTAAAACCTGGTGGGGCTGTGGAGTAAGCGCTGAGATGCTAGCCCTGAGGCCAGCAGTTCAAACCTACCTGCTTGCTCCCCAGCAGAAAGAAGAGGCTAGCTGCTCGTTTAAAGGTTTACAGTCTGGGAAACCCTACACAGGGTCACTGAGTCAGAATCGCTCCTCAGCAGGGCCTGGTTGATTGAGGCACACCCCACAATTCAGATGATTAAATGACACCTGGGGCGAGCGTGCTAACAGCAGAGGGCTCCTGCCCAGCCCATCGCTCCTGCTGCTGGTTGGGTACCTGGGAGAGCAAGCGTGAGAGGCCTTGCCTTTCATATTGGACATGGGGTCGAGGGGCAGTAGCCAAGCCCGGAGGACTGTGGGAAAGGCCTGTGGCCCACCACAAGGGTGAAACAAAGGGAGGGAGCATGTGTGGAAGCCCTGAGCCCAGAGTTCATATTGACGGGCAGCCAAAACTAAATTCAGTGCCGTGGGGTCAATTCCAACTCCTGGCCATCCGAGAGCAGAACAGCCCCAACAGGTTTCCAGAACAATCTCCAAAGAAGCTGACTGCAACATCTGATGGATTCAAACCACTCACCTTTGGTTAGCAGCCAAGCGCCCCAGCCACTGCGCTGCCATTGCCCCACTGACTGGTGCCTTCACCTCAAATCCAGTCTCTGTCCTGACCCACACAGTCAGGGGAAACCTAAGGGTTGGGGCTGGGCTCAGGCTCCCAGGGCAGAGATTTAGGACCATGCCAAGCTTGTTTGTTGACCTTTGTCTTGTCCAAAGGTCTCCGGGTAGTTAAAGGAGCAAACATCATTGACGGTCAGAGCGCTGGCCCCTGATGAAGACAGCCATGGTGGGCATGGCCACCTGATACATGGGAACAAATACTTGAGACCCTCCTTGATCTGGGTTTTCTCAGCTCTGCCCACATACACCCCTGGCCCCCTTGGTGCCTGACCTTGGACAAGACATGTGACCTCACACATCCATTCTTGCAGCCACTGTAATCTACCTGGAGGGGAGGGGGTCCTTCCTTTTTTCCTCACTGACCCTCCACCCAGCATGATGTCATTTCCAGAGGCTGGTCTCTCCGACAGCATGTCTGAAGTACATGAGACAGCCTATGAACCGGAGAGGAGGCTCTTAATATTCTCAGGGGCCACCCTGGCTGGTTTATACATTGATACTTTGCTTATTTCCTTGATTAAGTGCCTCTCCCGTCTTTGCATGTCTGCTTCTTTGTTTGTTTTTAATAGTACTTTGGGCTGGGCAGCTCAGGGCTAAACTTCAGGACCAAGGGGCATTGGCAGATGGGGGCCGTAGAATTAATTCTGACTGGTCTGACCTCATGTATGCAGATTAGAACTGCGTGATATGCACCCATGTATGCAGATTAGAATTGCGTGACATGCCCCCCATGTATGCAGATTAGAGCTGCATGGTATGCACCCATGTATGCAGATTAGAACTGCATGATATGCCCCCATGTATGCAGATTATAACTGCATGGTATGCACCCATGTATGCAGATTAGAACTGCATAATATGCACCCATGTATGCAGATTAGAACTACATGCTATGCACCCATGTATGCAGATTAGAACTCTGTGATATGCCCCCATGTATGCAGATTAGAACTCTGTGATATGCC